ATATTTATAAAAATCATTATTTTGTCTTTCATTTCATAAANGACGGTTAAAGATTGCAATTAAAAATAGCAAGAAAGCGTGTTTTAAAGACTTGTGTAACGAAATTGATGAATACCCGTGGGGCGGTGCCTACAAAGTCGTTATGAAAAAATTCAACAGTAGCCAAATGCGGACACCTACTTGCCCGGTACTACTTAAAAAAATAGTAGAAACACTGTTCCCGAAAGCGGAAACTAGCCCAGGGCCGGTACCAAGTGGAACACATACAAATGTTTACTATCCGCCACTTGAGCCTGATGAAATCAAATGCGCGGCCAAACGGCTAAAGAACAATAAATCTCCAGGTCCTGATGGTATTCCCAACATTGCTATTAAAACTGCAGTTGACGACTCTCGGAGTATTCCCGAATAAATGGAAGAAGCAAAGATTAGTCTTACTTCCAAAGCCCAATAAACCACAAGGTGAACCTAGTTCTTATAGGCCCCTATGTATGATTGATTCCTTAGGTAAGTTACTCGAACGCATCGTTTGCAATCGCTTGTGACAGCATATCGATACCAAAGAATGTCTGTCAGACACTCAATTCGGGTTTCGAAAGGGTAGGTCAACTGTCGATGCTATACGCAGCGTTACCGACATTGCTGAAGAATCTATTAAGGGTAAGCGTTGGAAAAATGGGTCCAAGGAATATTGTGCTGTAGTCACCCTAGATGTAAAAAATGCTTTTAACTCTTTGAGCTGGTCGCACGTTATAAATACGTTTCAAATTATTCATACACCACAGTATTTAATTAATATAATTAACAGTTATCTACCTAATAGAGTTTTGTCCTACNATACATATGTATGTATATAGGATAATACAAACTACCAATTGATAATTAAGGCTGGTCCACATAGAACTTTCGCGTTGACTTTGTAGTNTCCTTCGTTTTCATCAGAAAGAGAGAAATTAAATACTTTGACTCAAGATGGCCTGAGTACGGAAAATATCGTTGAACACATGTTGAATGATAAAAAAGTATGGGGCACATTAAAGAATATAAGCAGAGAAATAATGGCAAAGCTAAGGATCAGAGAGCAACGCCGCCGCTTAGAAAGAGGAANGGTACCAAGTGGAACACATACAAATGTTTACTATCCGCCACTTGAGCCTGATGAAATCAAATGCGCGGCCAAACGGCTAAAGAACAATAAATCTCCAGGTCCTGATGGTATTCCCAACATTGCTATTAAAACTGCAGTTGACGACTCTCGGAGTATTCCCGAATAAATGGAAGAAGCAAAGATTAGTCTTACTTCCAAAGCCCAATAAACCACAAGGTGAACCTAGTTCTTATAGGCCCCTATGTATGATTGATTCCTTAGGTAAGTTACTCGAACGCATCGTTTGCAATCGCTTGTGACAGCATATCGATACCAAAGAATGTCTGTCAGACACTCAATTCGGGTTTCGAAAGGGTAGGTCAACTGTCGATGCTATACGCAGCGTTACCGACATTGCTGAAGAATCTATTAAGGGTAAGCGTTGGAAAAATGGGTCCAAGGAATATTGTGCTGTAGTCACCCTAGATGTAAAAAATGCTTTTAACTCTTTGAGCTGGTCGCACGTTATAAATACGTTTCAAATTATTCATACACCACAGTATTTAATTAATATAATTAACAGTTATCTACCTAATAGAGTTTTGTCCTACAACACGGAAAGAGGCAAAGTAAGCTATAGAGTCTCCAGAGGAGTTCCCCAAGGTTCCGTCCTTGGCCCACTTTTGTGGATCATAGCCTACGATGGCGTATTGCGTCTACCCATTCCAAAAGGAGTTAAAATAATTGGCTATGCCGATGACATCGCTTTGGTGGTTGTGGCTAAAGACATAAATAGGGTGCAAATGGCCACAACAAATGCTTACAAAATAGTCATCGACTGGCTTACAGCGAGGGAGCTGAACTTAGCAATCGAGAAAACAGAAGGTGTACTCATAACAAGTAGAAAGAAAAAGAGACCGCAATCTTGAATATAAACGGGTATGTCTTTGATACATTACCAGCAGTGAGGTATCTAGGCGTAATGATTGATGCAAGGTTATCTTACAAAGTTCACATTGAAATGGTAAGTACAAAAGCGGCAAAAGTTCAAAGCGCGTTAGCTAGACTGATGGCAAATGTAGGCGGTCCAGGTCAAAACTGCAGAAAACTGCTAACAAAAGTTACTGAATCAGTTATAATGTACGCGGCCCCGTCTGGGGTCATGCACTGCAGCAAAAGTCCTATGCTAAGCTTGTAAACTCTGTTTTCCGTCTTAGTGCCCTGCGCGTTTGCAGCGCTTTCCGGACAGTTTCGCATGATGCAGCCTGCGTCATAGCTGGTATTATGCCTGCCGATTTGTTGGCTAACGAAATCCGGCGTACCTATATGACGGCCCGAACAAAAGGCAGAGCCCTCTCAAAATCCGAGATCGCGGCCGAGCGCCAAATAAGCCCATCACTATGGTAGCAACGCTGGGCCTCGTCTTCCTCTGGGCGCTGGACTTTCCGACTCATTCGAGCATCGAAGCTTGGCTATACAGATCGCATGGCGAAGTTGATTTTTATATGACTCAATTGCTTAGTGGCCATGGGTTGCTTTCGACAGTACCTGCACTATTATGGTCACGATGACTCGACGGCATGTAATACATGTGAAAATGTCCCGGAAACCGCTGAACATGTACTTTTCGAGTGTCCTTCGTTTTCATCAGAAAGAGAGAAATTAAATACTTTGACTCAAGATGGCCTGAGTACGGAAAATATCGTTGAACACATGTTGAATGATAAAAAAGTATGGGGCACATTAAAGAATATAAGCAGAGAAATAATGGCAAAGCTAAGGATCAGAGAGCAACGCCGCCGCTTAGAAAGAGGAAATAGTTCAAGTTACTTGTGTTCAAAATATCTTCTTTTATCTTATTTTTTGCATTTCTTTGCAGGTAAACCCTGTGAACNAATTTAATTTTATTTATTTGCAACAGCTGGCGACCGACGCGGCGATCTTTCTACTTTGTGTTGGCCTTAGTGTTGTCAAATTTTGGATATGTGGACGGCTTTGAAGTTCGACGCCAACGCAACGCCAAAGTTGTATGCGAACCGGTATCTATTCTTTGTCTACGCAAATTTTCCCATGTCTACATATCCATATATATATGCATACATAAAAAAGAAACATCTGCTATATGGGTCAATGGGGAGCAGTGTCTTGCTGAGAAACCTTATAGTCAGGAGTATTTTGTCAGAGGTAAGATCGGCGGGATATATATCTATAGCTGTTATGCACCACCGAGCCTGAGTTATCAAGAATTTGAATCTTTTCTAGATAGACTAGTTGAAGACGCCATGTTATATTCTCCAAAGCTTATAGCGGGTGACTTTAATGCATGGGCCGTTGAATGGGGAAGCGTTAGAACAAACCGACGAGGGCATGCCCTATTAAAGGCATTTGCACCACTCGACTTGTTCTTACTGAATACAGGTAACAAAAACACTTTTGAGAAAAATGGCAGGGGCTCCGTCGTTCACATTGCATTTTGCACTCAATCACTGGCACCAAAAACCACTTGGAAGATTAGTGACATTTATACCCAGCGTGATCATTTAGCGATTTTAATTGAAATCTGTGATGTAAGAAACCCTTCTAGCAGATGTTTCAAAAAGTATGGTAAAGGATGGTATAAAGAATCGTTCGACCCAAATATGTTTAAACTAGTACTGGATGGTATCAGGGACGTTAGTGAAACACCAGATAATGCGGAAGCTCTTTCAGAAGAGCTCTCAAAAGCTGTTATCAGGGCATGCGATGCGTCAATGAGCAAAAAGGGCAACAAAATTACAAGAAAGCGGGTTTACTGGTGGACACCGGAAATAGCTGAGCTTCGATCTGAATGCAATAAAGCCAGAAGAAAATGTCAGCGAATAAGAACGGACGCCCAAAGAGACCATTTTAAATCTTTACGGANTACATACAAACATATATAAATATGCATGTTATGTGTGTACACATGTATGAATATAACTCTAAAAAATTCATTCCATAATCTATGTTTATGTATGTAATAAATTTTATTTGTTGTTTTAAATGCTGCCCTATTATAATACCTTACAATTATTAACATACTTTCGTACATAATCTATTGACATACATTCCCACATTTTTATGCACAAAAATGCATGTGTTGTATAGTACACTCGAAGCGCTCGCTCGTCGCTCACTCGTCTTTCCTAGCAGAGTGAGCATGCAGACAGCTACTCGCCTCGCACTGCGAGCGAGGCAACACACAACAGCCTCGCTCGTTTAATAGGAGCGCGAGCAAACAAGCAGCGCTCGCTCGTTTGGCGAGCGAGCCAAACTTCTCGTGCCTCGCCTCATTGCTGCTACGAGTACGAGCTGCGGCCTCGTTGTCTGCGAGGCATTGAGTAGGAGTTTGCTCGCTCGCTCGCTCGAACTCCGAGTTTTTTCCCACCCTGCAAACAACCAAGATTTATTGGTAGGTTGTTTAACCAACCCCACCAAAAACCAATCAGCTGTTCAGCACAAAATGTAAACAAACAAGCAAATGCAACAACAATTTCAAGGAACAAGCAGAAGTACTGCCTTTTAATTGGCATATTTAGATAAAGTTGAACTGAACCCCAACGAAAGCTAAATGGAATTTAAACAGCAATCCACAATTAAACTTAAGTGCCGTTAAATATTCATTTGAAATTGGCCCTTAGGGCCCGTTGTTCAATGTCTGATTAACACAAATCGGAACTTCTACCTCCGGTTAAATATAATCATGACTATTACGGTATCCGACGAATGCCACTCCCGCGAATGGCATTCGATTCGCATTCCCCTCGCATGTTGAAGTTTGCGGTATTCCCATAAACGTCGGATGGCTGCTTTATCGACTCACGCAGCGGATTGTGTCAAACGCTTTTTGACATTTCTCGAATTGTCATTTTTAATTAATTTGTGTTTGGAAAAAATTAAATTTGTGTTAAAATGGATTCGATTGCTTTTTATTTTAACAATGATGAAGATGAAAGTAGTTCCGCAAGTGTAAGAAGGTCCGTGAGGGATAGAGCACCTAACATTTTTAAACTGACAGACATAGAGTAAGCAAAATAAGTATAAAAGTTTGATCACACATGCGAATATACACTTTTGTCTCCAACAGGTTTATTAAACAATTTCGAGTAAATAAAAATGCATATAAACATATTTCAAGCATAATTTGCGGTAAAATTCCTCCCGTGATAAAATCCACAGCAATTAGTCGGCAACAAAAGCTATCTTTATGTCTGCGAATCTTAGCAGAAGGAAGCTACCAAAATGCTGTTGGCAAAGACTACATGCTTGGTATGGCTCAACCAACAGTTTCTAAGATATTTTCAGAGGTTATTGATATTCTGGAAAACGAGTTGTGTGATAAGTGGTTGAATTTAAAAATGAATGACGAGGAGCAAATGGAGTCTCGGAGTTACTTTTACAACAAATCGAAAATTCCCGGGATTGTAATGTGCATTGATGGTACGCACATAAGGATAGCAAAACCTACAGGCTCAAACTCTCACCTTTTTTATAATAGAAAAGGCTTCTATAGTCTCAATGTGCTTGTTGTAAGTTTGTACATTTTTTTTGCAATAGTTTTATATATTTTTTTTTTCATGGTTTAGATATGTGATCATAAACAGCGCATAAGGTACGTTAACGCGAAATACCCAGGGTCAGCTCACGATTCATTTGTTTGGTCTAACAGCGACGTATCACAATACTTCCAAGCACAATATGAAGGTGGTAATCGAAATCTGCGACTATTAGGTATAACTATAAATTATATAATTTACTATTCAACTTCATATTCTTTACATATAATAATTTTTTATTTAATTCTTAGGTGACGCAGGGTACGGTCTCGCACCCTGGCTTATAACTCCTTTTCGGAACCCTGCACCTAATACTCCTTCAAGTCGCTTTAACAAATGGCATAGTTCTGGGCGAAACATTATAGAGAGAACTATTGGTGTTTGGAAAAACTGGTGTAGATGTCTTCTGTCTGCGCGCCAACTTCATTATTCTCCTGAAAAGGCTGTGAAAATAATCAATGTAGCTGCGGCACTACACAATTTACGCATTCACTACAATATCCATGATGAGTATCTTGATCACGTAACTAATGAGGAAGATTCAGACACCGATTTCCAAGAAATCGAGCGACCGGAGAGGTATTATACTGAAGCAGTTCAACTACGTAATCAAATGCTCCAAAGTTTTTTGTCATAAGTTTTATTTTATTATAAATAAAATTGCTGCCTTCATGGCTAAAGCTAAACTAAATATGTATTGCTGCCTTCATGGCTAAAGCTAAACTAGATATGTATTGCTGCCTTCATAGCTAAACTTAAACTATATCTACTACTTCTTTAGCGCATTTTTCACTCCCTGTATCTCCAATTCTAAAAGTTGCTCCTTAACTTTGGTCTTGTGCCGCAATAATTGTTCCGTTACCAAATTATGTCTTTTTGTCTCGGCAACTAAGTTCCCTAGTATGGAGCGCATACCCTCAACGTTGTTGTTGAGACTGCTCATTGTTTTTTGCATTTTTTTTAAATTATTTGCTACATCTTCCATTTTTCTTTTTTGACTTTTTAAATTACATACGACGTTGTCGTAATATTTTTTTTGCATATCCAACTGAGTTTTAAGGAGCGTCAATTGGGTTCTCCTTTGTGGCACTCTCTGTTGGGGTTGCGGAGACGTAGGTGAAGAACTGTTTCCATTTGAATTTTCAGCATTTTCCATATTATCAGCTTCTTCCCTGTTTACTGCACCACTGGTAGATGGCTCGGAAGCTGCGCTGTCTGTGTGGCTACCACGAGATGGGCCTTGTGGCGTACCACAGTGCCTGCCGGAGACTCCCGCAACGGCGTCATAAATATTCACCAGCTGCGCAACTTCCTCTTCCAAAGCAGTCAATTGTACCTCCCTATTTGGACCTCCACCTGTTGCTCGCATTTGTATTCGGTTGTTAGACAATTTTTTCTTTATGGAGGATTTAAAATCTGACCATACCTGAAAATAGTTCAAGTTTAATAAAATTGGTTTATAAATAATCAACTTTCTTACTTTTTTCCACTCGGCAAGGGACTTTGTTGGAGGTCCTAACGCATTTAAGTCCGTGCTAAGTGATGTCCAGAACACGGATACTACCTCTGGTGGCTCATTGGACATACTTTTGGCAATGCCCCCGTTGAGCTTCATCCGTTCAGCCATTAAAGCGAATTGTTCTCGGTTTGTGGTACGACTTCTGTTAGAAAACATAATAAGCACATATAATTTACTAAAAAATGTTAAAAATAAGTCACCTTTTATTGAATTCCATCTTATTGCGTGATATTTTCAATTTTTTTTATTAAATCCGCAACAATTATTCAGCGAATGACACTTAGAGCAAAAGACACTTATTGCGTTTCGATTACGATTATGGGAATACACACCCCTATTGCGAGTGTCGACTGGCAGTAGAATAGAAATTTGTCGATCGAGTCGATCATCTTTTATTTTGCTATTGTGTAACTTGATCGATAAAAATTTGTACTATTGTGAATGGTTGACAGAATTGTAAACAGCTGTTTGTTTGCATACATTTGTTTCTTGAGTGTTTTATTTACATCATTTTTAAAATAATTGCTTTTATTATAAAATTTAAAAAATGGACACAGTTGAAATATGGTTTAGTGATGAGGAAGATGATGCGGAAGCTAATAGATTAGTAGAGTCGGCTAAAGCAAGGAGGGAATTGCGAGATTCGTCGGATCCCTTGGACATGGAAGGTGTATGTACACGTGTGAGTTTTATGAATAGAAGTTGTGTTGGGTTTTTGTGTCCAAATGCGTGACCCGAGTTTAAAAACTTTAACATAACAACATAACAAGTGTATTGAAAGAATTCAACTTTAATTTAAAATAAAGATTTCAAATTTCCGAGCACTAGTCAATTAATAAATTATGCAGTTTTTTTGTATAAACTTTTGATGTTGGTTCTCCGCAAAAACACTGTGGATGGCGTAGCCGGAGTTATATGCTTTTCCAATAGAAGCGGAGCTTCCTACCCTACTCTTTCCGGAAATTCCTTTGCCTATGTCTTCACTCTCCTGCATCAGTGCGACCAACGCGCAAGTTGCCTTTTGTTGCTTATAATTTTTGATCTGTAATTCAGACACATACATGCATATGTATATTTCACAATTTTTTACAACTTCCAGTTCAATTGACTTACTTTTTATCCATTATAGTACCACTTTCTTATGTAAATTTTATAAACGCAAACTCCAACGACTAAAAAACAGCAATAGAAGGATGAGCGATTAAAAAGTATTCACAGTCGCTAATTGAGCGACTAAGCGACACTCGCAATAGCATCGATAATCGATAATCGCTTAATAGTCGTTTATCTACTGCCAGTCGACATTCGCAATAGGGGTGACAGTGAATCCGCGAACTGCTTTATCAACAAATTTTTATTCGCGAACTCCATTGCCGATCGGTTATGAGAATACCAGATCTTCTCAATTCGATTCGCATTCCCCGCGGATGGCATTCGTCGGATACCGTAATAGGCATGAATATGCTCTATCGATCACATATTATATGCATGATGCCAAAATCTTCGATAATAATGTACTGATGATAGCTATACATTGAACAACGGGCCCTTAACTTAGATGAAAATGCTTCAGTTTAAGATAGACTTTATGTGAAAAAATACCTATGCAGTCGCAGATGTATTAAAAGAAACGCCACGGTTTAGTATATATCTATATAGAATTCAATGATTATAATTTACATGTTTTTAGTATGACAATTGCAATAATAAAGAATAAGAAAGAAAGCAGTTGGTTCGTTTACACTGATTTGCCAAAAGCAGTAGTGCAGAGATTAAATGTCAAACCAGAGTGGCCGCATATACAAGAAATATTTTAGAATGCTAATATTAACACTCCCACTCATTCCAAACATTTTTACATTTACAAAAATAGAAAGCGTATGCATAGATAGATAGATGACAAATTAATTTCAAATTCAAAGTTTACTTATTCTCTTACATCACATCATGCCAAGTCGGGTTACGTTTGATTCTTAGAGTTGCCTTGTCAAGGGTTTGGTGAAGACATCTGCCAATTGATCTCGGCTTCCGACATGCTCCAAGTGTATTTTTCCACTTTGGTACAGGTCCCGTACGAAAAATAGCCTGACGTGGATGATGCAGTTCTGGGTTTTGCACCAACTTTATTGCACTCAAATTGTTAATGTGCAAAGTTGTAGACTTCTGTTGTTGTAGGCCAATATCCTTTAGTAACTGTCGCAACCGAACAGCTTCTTTCGCACCTTCAGTAATGGCCATAAACGGAAGCTGTTCCGTTGATGACTGTGCGACCGTACTTTGTCTTTGGCTTCTCCGTGTAATCACACCGTTGCCTATCTTGAATGCATGCCCTGTTGTTGATCGTCGGGTGTCCAAATCTCTTGCGTAGTCGGCATCCGTGTAACCGACCAAAGACACTTCGTTCGAGTTCACATATGTGATGACCAGTGATTTCGTGTGATTCAAATAACGAAAAACTCGTTTGATGGCACAAATGTGTGTGCTATTAGGGGCTTCCAAAAACTTACTGACCTCCCACTGCATATGAAATATCCGGCCGCGCGACTGTTGCAGCGTATGTCAACGATCCACATGCCTGCCGATATGGAAAATTTGAGTTACCTTCTTGTTTCGACTTAGTCAATATTGTGCCAGCATCGAATGGTGTTGAAACGATTTTCGATTCGTTCATGCGGAATTTCTGGACAATTTTGTTAATATGCGATGCCTGCGTGATAGTTATTGTTTTAGCTAATCGATCGCGTTTGATTTCAATGCCAACGTAATATTCGCCGTTTCTCAATGTGATTTTAAACTCATTTATTAGCTTCTTTACCAATGCATCGATAGCGCAATTTCTGTGGGAAAGAATTAAGCCATCAACACACAGCAAAACGATTACCTTTTCTCAACTGATGCATCCATAGAAAAAACACGTGTCCGCCTTCGATTGTTCCAAACCACAGCGTTGAATAAAATCCGCAAACTTTGAGTTCCAGGCTCTCGATGCTTGTTCGAGACCATCCGGTACTTGCATGTAAATAGTTTCTTTCAGGTCACCATTTAAGAATGCTGTTTTTACATCAAATTGTGCGATCTCCATGTCTTCAACTGCTGTAATAGCTTAAATGCATCGAACCGTTTCATAACGGCCGACAGGAGAAAACGTGTCCTTGTAGCCAACGCCGGCAGATTGGGAATAACCCTTGGCTACAAGCCGAGCTTTGTACTTTGGTTCCTCATTTGGAGACATCTTCAATTTAAACACCCACTTATTACCTATCACCTTGCATTTTCCCGGTCGATCGACAAGATCCCATGTATCGTTTTCTTTCAGTGAATCTATTTCTTCCCGCACTGCTTTCATCCATTGTTTCGATTCATTGGAAAATTTCGCCTCCTGAAAGGCAACGATTCAATCGAAATAGCTGACAAGGCCATATCCGCCTGGTAGAATTCAGTTGGCTTTGGATTCGGGCGCAAGCCCGATCGCTTTGGGTCATAATCCTTTTTCTTCGGACTAACCGCTGCGTCACCGACATCATGGTATTCTTCGTCTTCACTTGAACTTTCTACAATTGTTTTTATCGTTTTTGGTGATATAACTTTTATTACCTCTTCCGTCTTCTCGGTCGTTGATTCATCTTCGGGTATAATTAACGATTCGCTTCGAATAAAATTCTCATGAAATTTAACGTCGCAACTTAAAACGCAAACCGTCAACGACGTAACATAGACGTACGTTGACGCTGAAACGATCTACCTAATGGGATTCGCGTGTTAACGAAAACTCACCACCGCATGGCTGTGACGTTGCCGTTGCTTCTCTCTCTCTCTATCAACAGTAAATTTTGTATGCTGCTACGTACGTCAACCTACATTTACGCTACGTCGTTGACTAACTACGCTTTTACAAATACTTTTCTTGACTCAGGATCATACAGTCGAAAGTTCTTGCTTGTAGGCTCGTATCCCACCAAAAATACTTTCTTTGATTTCACGTCCCATTTCTTGCTAAAAACTTTAGGAATGTGAGCATACGCAATGGTACCAAACACTTTTAAGTGACCAAGAAACGGTTTCTCACCAAACCACTGCTCATAGGGTGTGGTTTTCCGACTTTTTGACTTTGTCGTTCGATTCAAAATAAAAACCGCTGTTCGAACTGCCTCTGGCCATAATGATTTATCCATATTGCTTGCTAATAACATTGTTCGATGCGACCTTTCTGCTCGGGAATATTTGGTGCAATGCGTTCAATCATAATACCTCTCTTCGCTAATGTGTTTCTTGCGTCTTGGTTAATGAACTCGGTTCCGTTGTCGCATCGAATACGTTTTACTTTGCATTCTTTGGAATTTTCGACGAATGGCAAAAATTCTACCAGATGCGCATTGCTTTCGGACTCGTGTCCCAAGAAAAAAACCGTTCGTAATGTTGTAGCTTCATCTTTCAACAGAAAAAAATAATTTTGGCCACCGATTCCCATCGTTTCCACTTTTCCACACAAGTTAATGAGAAAACATTCACCCTTCGACACGTCTCGCCTCTCAGTTAACGGATGTTAGCTCCGATGAGACTTACCAAACTGGCACTCTTCGCAAAAAAAATCATTTGCATTAGTGACTTCGATTCCGTTTACCAAATTCTTATTAACCATCGATTTAATATGAGCTACGTTGATATGACCCAACCTTCTGTGCCACTGTTGTAACGACGCCGAAGGATTGCACTCTTTTGAAACGAAGCATGAATTAGCACGATTTTTAATTGCTGGACGAAATAACATCCACACCAAGTCGTTCTTATCTTTCACCCCGACTGCTACAATCTTCTGATTTTAGAACAATGCATTTGCTTGCTTCAAATTTCACACGAAACCCCTTTCGTGTCAACTGGCCAATTGATAACAAGTTCACTGTTGATTTCGGTGCATACCGTACGTTTTCTAGTCAACGAGTCTCCGTGCTACCGTTGACAAATGCTTCGACCTTAATTGTTCTAGTGCCAAGAACGTCGATAACTTCATCATTTGCCAGTTTAACACCCCGTTGTTCCGTTGTAGTTGAGTATTCAATGAACCAGTCCTTGCGATGAGTTACACTCTTAGTTGCAGCAGAATCAGCTATCCATACGTCATCATATTTTGCCGCCAAAATGTCATCAAGAGCAGAAAAAGCATATGATTTCGACTCTTTCTTTGATCTGTCTTTCGATTGCTTATTTTTCTCTATGCAATCCCGTCTCCAATGACTAACTTGACCACAAGAGAAACAAGCTGACTTTGGTTTTCCGTTAGTTTGTGGTTTCCTTTTCTTTTTCTTTTTCTCATTGTTGCGGCTGTAGCGGATTAAATTAAAACGACGCGTGCTTAATGCTTACTGGTTCATTTATTACTGAGCTCATAGACTAACTAAATGACAAAGCTAAGAGAGTGGAAGTGTATTGCGAATATGCGTGAGAGGCGCGAACATACCGGCCTCCTTAAATGAGTAGTTCAATAATTTGTACATTGTTAAATTACAAAATTGTAAAAAAAATAAAGTGTGCAAACTTATGTGATGCATAAAATATGAGTATATACTACTGAGATTTTTCATCATATGATAAAATAGGTACAAGCTTTACGATGGGCCTAGTCAACAGGCCTTCGGCAGTTTTGATATCTACTACTCTTGTATAACCATCTTGTCCAGGATGGCATTTGACGACACGAGCTAGCTTCCAATTCGCAGGAGGAATACGTTCGTCCCTCACCACGACCAAGTCCCCTTCTCGTATGTTTTTCTTCGGACGCACCCATTTAGCTCTAGTTTGCAGTGTTGAAAGGTATTCTAGCTGCCAGCGACGCCAAAAATGTTTACGTACGGCGGATATAAGCTGCCATCGTTGATTTATATTACCCTTAAAATCGAGCATTGTAGGTTCGGGTAATGCTTTGAGGGGCTCGCCAATCAAAAAGTGACCAGGAGTCAATGTTTCCAGGTCAGACGAAGCACTCGAGAGCGGGCACAAAGGGCGTGAGTTGACGCAAGCCTCTACTTCGGTGATCAGGGTACAAATCTCTTCGCACGTCAACAAGGTCGATTCGAGGGCTCGCCGAAGGTGGAACTTTACACGCTTAACAGCGGACTCCCAAAAACCGCCCATATGAGGACCGCTTGGGGGATTAAACTGTCATTCTACGCTAGAGTTCGCAAAAAGCTGCTGGATTTTCGGATCGTCCATCGCCTGTTGAAATACTGTCCGTAGATCCTTCTCAGCACCCACAAAATTAGTTCCATTGTCAGATACGTATGTACGGCAATAACCTCGACGTGAGACAAATCTTTTAACAACACTGATAACAGGTCTCTGAGGATAAGTTACTCGCTAATTCCAGATGCATAGCGCCAGTCGCCATGCAAATAAAAACAGCTGTATAGCCCTTGGTAGACTTTGACCCGCGTCCTTTGGAGAATTTTACGCTAAATGGGCCAGCCATATCTACGCCGGTGACAGAGAAAGGTCGACCTGCGTAGTTAACCCTAAAGCTTGGTATGTCGGCCATCATCTGTTNGTATAGCCCTTGGTAGACTTTGACCCGCGGCCTTTGGCGAATTTTACGCTAAATGGGCCAGCCATATCTACGCCGGTGACAGAGAAAGGTCGACCTGCGTAGTTAACCCTAAAGCTTGGTATGTCGGCCATCATCTGTTGCTGTCGAATAGCACTTTGACGTCGACACGTAGTACAATTATGAAAGATTTTTCGAACCAATCCTCGTGCGCCCATTACCCAAAACCGACGTTGTAGTACAGTCTGCATAAGTTGTGGTCCACCGCGCAAGAGGCTTTTGTGAAGGTCATTAATTATCATGATTACGATGATGGACTTTGACGNCATAAGTTGTGGTCCACCGCGCAAGAGGCTTTTGTGAAGGTCATTAATTATCATGATTACGATGATGGACTTTGACGGTAAGACGATAGGAAACTTGATGTCTGGCGATACAGCGGAGCGCCGAATCCTACCACCCGCCCTTAATATGTTGTTGTCGTCGAGGAATACGTTGAGCCGAATTAGTGCGCTGCGAAGCGAGATGGGTTTAGAGTGTGCGCAACACCAGATTCCTTCGTTGAATGCTTGCCTTTGCACCTGACGTATCCAGTATTCTTCGGCGGCACGTAACTCTGCGTATGTTAACGGACCTCCTTGCCTTTGCTTTTCCCGCGAATTGCGTATATATCGCAACCAATAAGCTGTAATGCGTTTCAAACGTAAAAACGGCGAAAACCTTGCGAGCATATATCAGGATTCGCTTTGGGTGCAGTTCCAGCTCTTTCGATGGTATTGATGGTGAGTTAGGCCAGTATTTATCATCCTGCGCCAACCGGGAAGGCCCATTCCACCATAATTTATGCTGGATAATTTGCGCAGGTTGCATACCTCTTGATGCGCAATCAGCTGGATTATCGGTTGTACATACGTTGGACCAATCTTCCGATGCTATATTCGACTGTGCTGTGGCGACTCGGTTCGCTACAAATACAGACCAGCGGCTGGGGTGGCTTTGTAACCAGGCCAATGCGTTCATGGAGTCCGTCCATCCATATATTTTGGGTACCAGTCCAGCTAACGATTGTTGAACGTGATGTGTGAGTTTTGACACTTGAACGGCGGCGCACAACTCGAGCTTAGCTATAGAAATAGAACGGAGACGTGAGAGCTTTGTTTTTGCAATTACCATAGCTACAGTTATTGAGCCGTCAGCATGTCGTGTCCGAGCGTATACTACACCAGCGTACGCCTGCTGTGAAGCGTCTGCGAAGCAGTGCAGATCTGTCTTTGAACCTTCCATTCCGGTTCCAAGCCATCTTTGGATTTAGAGTCCAGAAAGTAATTTTAAATTCTCGCGATGATTCAGCCAGCAAACGGCGATGTCTTCTGGTACGGCATCATCCCAGTCTAATCCATGCTGCCAGAGTCGTTGGAATAACGTTTTGGGGACCAAGGTTCCAGCTTCCCTGTAGGATCGAATAATCGACAGGAATCTGACAAAAGCGATCTTTTGGTGAGATTTTTCGGTGGGGACCCCAATTTGATGTCGAAGTATAAGTAGTCATCCGTGGAATTCCACATTAGTCCTAAAGCGCGTACTGTATCATCGTCAGCAAGCAAATGAGATATATTGTGCTCTCTTGCATCGAGTGGGATATTGCGGATGACGAATGGCGAGTTTGATGCCCACTTCCGCAGTTCAAAGCAACCATTTCCAAGTATTCGGGATATTTCTTTGCGCAGACTATTGGGGCTTGTTTCGTATGAGCTACCGGTTAACAAGTCGTCCATATAAAAATCTCGGAGGATGACGGAAGATGCGAGGGGGTAGAATGTAGCGGCTTTTTTGGCTGTCTGCTGCAGCGCTTTGACTGCGAGATGAGAACTAGAGGCAATACCATAAGTAACCCTTAATCTTGTAGGGGCTCATGTTTGCTTCTGCGCCATATGACTCGTTGATAATCGGCGTCTTCTTCAGCGGCCATTACCTAACGATACATACCGCTGATGTCAGCGGTTAAAGCGTACATGTGAATTTGAAAGCGGTTTAAAATAGAAGTTGCGGCCCGATCATCAAATTATCATTAAGCGACAGGCCGTTTGTGTTTTTTTGCGAAGCGCTGAAGACGATACGAGTTTTCGTTGTGCAGCTCGACTCTTTGATAACGCTGTGATGTGGAATATACCAATTTGACGAAGGCACGTTACTTACCGACTCCATATGACCCTGATCCAACATATCGTGCAAGAATGCATGATATTGTTCTCGATGCTCGTTATTTAGCTCAAGCCTTCTTTCCATTCTTGACCAAGATTGTACCGCTATAGCCCATGAGTCACCTAATTTAATGTTTTGCCTAAATGGCAAATGCACGATAAAGCGTCCTTGCGTGTTTCATCGGTGAGTTGTTTCGAATAGCTTTTCACATCTTGTCTCTTCAGTAGTAAAGTAACGAGTCTCCGGTAATTCATCAAGTGTCCACGCCTTTATCACTGCCTTTGTTAAGTCGATATCTGAATATAAGCAAGGAGATGTATTGTTCGATTTACCTAAAGTAGTTAACTTGCCGAACAGCACCCAGCCAAAAACTGTCTTCTGCGCGATCGGAGTATTAGGCGGGCCCTTTATAACCTCTGTTTCCAATAGAGAATACATTTCATCAGATCCTATAATTAAGTTTATGCGAGCTGGCAAGTAATACTGCGGATCAGCTAATTTTAGGCCTTCAATGTACGGCCATTTGGAAGAGTGTATTTTCGCCGCGGGCAAAGATTCTGTAAGCTTTGTCAACACGAGAGCAGATAGAGGGAATGTTTCGGTGACCTCCATTGGCGTCAACAACAATGATGTTTCGCCCTTTACCTTACCCTTTGAGCATCCGATTCCGGACACAATAACTTCACCTTTTAGCTTATTGTAATCTTTGAACACATGCTTCAGTTATAAATGAAGAGTGTGAGCCTGTCACATGCTCGTAATTGGGCAGTAGCGAGAAGAACGGCTTGCCTAAAGGTCGCGTCAGAATGTGTGCCCGAAGTGGTTGCTTCTGGTGCGCTTAGTGCGGCAGTGGCAGAGTACGACGAACGCCTTGCAAGTAAGGTGATGTTTGCATTATCACTATTTTTGGATGATTGTGAATTCGCAGTATCCATCGAAGTAGTGTAGGTTTCGGAATAATGAAGTAGCGTATGGTGGCGATGTCTGCATATTCTGCACGTTGATGCGCTTCGGCACTTGTCTCTTTTATGCATCTCGCCCAAACAGTTTGTACAAGCGTTTTTATTTCGGATTACGTCCTTTCGCGTGGTTACCGGGATTTCACGAAATTGAGGGCATTGATAAATTCTATGCTCACCAGAACAATACAAACACCGTTTGGAATCCGTCTGACCCCCTTGCGTGGCGTGATATGCATTTATTTTGTTTTTGGGTCTTGCTGCAGTCTGTTTCGTAAACCCAGTATGCGTTAACGCTGCCTCTAGCGAGCGACATTGAGTTTCGAGAAATTCCTGCAAAATATTAAGATCTACCTCTTGTTGTTCTCCAAGTGAAAGTTCCCATTGTCGTCTTGTTTCGTTTGCTAGCCTATGCACAATTACGTGTATAAACCATTCATCCCAATGTTGAACCGGCAGCGCCAAAGCCTTCGATGCACGAACATTTTGCATGATGGGGTCTAATACGCCTTTGATTACAGTGGGAGTGTCGCTGTTTGCCTTTTGCACCGAAAAAATAGCACGGAAATGATGATCTTTATTAACACGCGGAATATTGTACCGTGTTGTTAATAAATTCCAGGCTTCGCTGAAATTTGCATCTTGAAGTTTGAAATTTGAGATTAGTTGCAGCGGCTCTTTAGACAAGCAGCAGCGTAAATAGTGCAATTTTTGACTTCCAGTCAGCGTTTCGTGTTTTAGTACGATGGCACTGAAACTGTCGAAAAATGTGAGCCATGTTGTCGGATCTCCTTCAAAATGAGGTAAATTAAATGCTGGAAGCTTGATGTTTGGAATGACAGATGTGCTGCGTGAAACCTCGCCTACTGTTGTTGTGTTAAGAGGAGATTGTGCTTCGAGCATTGCTTTGAAATTTGACATTGCGGATGCATACCATTGTTCGCCCTGTTCTCTTTCGTACTGTTCTGCTTCTATGGCGTTTGCTCCGCAAGACTCTTCCACAATTTCTTGAGCAATACTGAACCGGCCCCATTGTTCACGTAAAAGCTCTATGTATACTTCCAGCTGCTGTTTGGAGTATTTTCCGCTTTCAGCTTTACTGAGTTCAAGAGAGCGTTTAATTGCATTTCGTGCCGAGTCTCTTTTGTTCACAGACATTTCAATGCACTTCAAAACGGTGTACCAAAGAAATGAATATGACCTTAAAATAACCGTTTCCCTGATGTGCTCTTTTGCCTTACTGGCTGTAGGTTTCAATGAACATAAATAGTTTATTCACATACACTTTCACGGCAGCGAATGCAGGTGCACTTCTAGTTTTATTGTTTTTGTAGTCTGTATTTAGTTAATTGCGTATTCACTTTAGTACTTGCGATTAAATTAATTTTATATTGTTAAGCGATTTTTTTATATGCGTTAATAACCGAGATCCGGTCTGAAGGACCATCTTGCGGCAGTAGCGGAGTAAATTAATGGGCCGATTACGGATAGCAACACAACCACGGTTCGGTTGCCAGCTGACAACGCAACTGGAAAGAAAATTTGTATTACGAATGGCAACTATCGTCAGTTGCTGTCGATTTATCGATAATCGAAACTGGACAGTTCGACAACCAGCAAGCGGCTGTAAACAAGCTGCGCGACTAAAAATAAATTATTCAAATAAAGAGTTTTAAAGAAAAGACAGCAATAAAGCTAAATTCATCACAGTTATTTGTTTAAGAGGAAGAGAAGTGCATGAACGCGGCCTTAAAGGATAATACAAATCCTCTAGAGCTACCGCGTGTACTGAAGCAAAACGTAATGCTCTCAAGGTATTTCTTTTGTTACCGTTATGTGTTCATTTTCAAATTATATTGAAGACTTCCAAAAGAAGCTGTTGTTGGTTAATAAACAGATGAACCCTTCGTTCAACTACAAAACCTCCGCTCATAACAGCTTGTGCATCTCTTAGATTTTTCGCAGAAGGAAGTGCCACAGCAATGACTTTAATTTGGAAAACTTGGTGTGTCGGGGTCGTTTTAAAAGAGGTACTTCAGTTGATAAAGGAAAAAATTTGCAATCAGTGTTCGCTTTTGTTTCGCCAAAAGAGCGTACTCCACGGGAACGAAAACTTCAAGTTGTTTTGTTATTTTCACCATATTCTGTAAAAGTAATTATTAAAATTAATTAATTATTAAAAAGTAAAATGTATGACACAATTTTCCAATTTTCGATCCTAAATACGCTCCAAAAATATTCCCAGCCACCACTAAAATGTAGTCGCCTGTATACACACTTTGGAGCAACTGCAGTTGTTAGTTGAAAGTTGCCAGTTGACATCTGTAATATCGTTTTGGCAACTAGCAACGCAACTGGAGTTCGATTGCTATCGATAATCGATCCATAAAACGACGCGTGCTTAATGCTTGCTGGTTCATTTATTACTGAACTCATAGACTAACTAACTGACAAAGCTGAGAGAGGGGATGTGTATTGCGAATATGCGTGAGAGGCGGGAACACTCATGTTTTGCACTAAACGCTGTTTCGACTGATGCTGTATTCTCGCTCTCAACCTTGTTCATTGAATCTTCTTCTAACTGCACTTGTGCCAAAAGTGTGTCCATGCTTCGACAATCTTTGATATTGAACCATATTGTGCGAAAATTACCATACTTTGATGACAACCCGTTGATGATGCGGCACATTTTGAGGTTACTCGACAATTTTTCGCCCTGATATTCGATTTCATGTGCCAAATTGCAAACCCTTGACACATATTCCGCCCCTTCTCATCGTCGTTCATTTTCATTGTAAAATATTCTTCATACAAACCCATGATTTTCACATCGCTTCGCTTGTTGTGTATGCCCTCCAACAAATCCATAATTTCCTTCGACGTTTTGCAGCTCAAAACCAGTTTACTTTGATCTGCTGCAAGTGATGCAAATAATACTGACATTGCGAAACCGTCTTTTTGCATCCACTTCTTCAGATCGTCCACCGCTGTCTCAGCCGGTTTCGTAAATTTTCCGCTGACAACATCTTCCCAGTCCTTTGCCTTAAGAATTGAACTTACTTGGAATTTCCACATTCTAAAATTACTGCCGTCAAGCCGATGTGACATCAGCGTGCTCTCAAAAGCTGCACAATTCATCTTGAATTTCTCAATATATATATGTATGTGCCCTCTTAAATTGTTTTCACTTTTGTGCGTGAACTGGGCCTATAACCTGTGAAAAAATACTTAGCCAGTCGCAGTTGTATTAAAAGAAACACCACGATTTAGTATATGGGCTTGTTCGAGTTGCAGTCACAACCGCAGTGTTGCGTGAATTATTAAAGTATCACGTTCTGTGCGAATTTCTAGCAATGTATTATCAGTTGGGCAGTTGCAACAATGAAAGAAGTTTGTTCGTTTACAATGATTTGCCAAAAGAAGTAGTGTAGAGATTAAATGTGAAACCAGAGTGGCCGCATATACAAGAAATATATTAGAATGCTATTTAAAGCAACAAAATAAAATCTTTATAAGAGCTCTTTTCATTATATAAATAAAAATAAAATATATAATGTAAAAAAGAAATATTTTGTAAAAACAAGCTTTTATTTAACATGCTTTTAGTTAACAATAGTGTATAAAAAGTTTTTTCAACAAAAGATTTTTAAAATAAATAAAATAAAATAAGTTAAGCTTTCGTCAAAGTCATTATGGACATTTTACCTCCGGTTTGTGTTAACCGGATATTGAACGGCCCTTAGTCAATTGTTGTCGTATGACAGCAGGAAACTCTCTGCAGTGCGTTTGCGATTCGGTTTCAGCGTTCTACGCAAAAATTTGTTAATCAAATAATTTGGTGTTAAAGACATTAATCTGAAAAGCGCTCAAGCAACGTTACAAAAATTTTAATTTCCCGTGCATTCGTTTTAAGAGCGTACATATGTACATATGTACGGATATACAAATCGGCGATGTTTTTGCAAAACCGCCCATCGACAAATCGCGAAACCGCCTATTTTAGGCACTCACATTTTTTATTAGAGCGAAAAAACGGGTTTTCTTTGAAGGCATTGCCCTGATAGGCGGTATTTTCTTAAGCTATTATTTTACAAATCTGTTGTTTTAGTAAGAATTTTACGATTCTTGGGTTACCACATCTCGGTTTTGTCACAATGGCTATTTAGGCGGTTTTGCAACTGTTCGATGGGCAGTTTTGCAAAAACATCGACGATATGTATGCTATGCTTTTATGGTAGCTTTAAATTTTAACGTTTTCGCAGCTCCCTATGTTTGTCTTCATCTTAAGCAGGAATCACTCAATTTGTACATTTTGGCAGGTACGGAGTGGTGTTGTTCGGAAATTCTTTTATTGAGCTGAACTCAAATTTCTTAACAACACCATTCTTTCACTGCCAAAATGTACAAATCCGTAAAAATGTACAAATCGTGTGTCTTCACTTAACAGCCTTTTACAACGCCTTTCTCAACTTGCAATGTTGTATATCCAGACCACTATTTATACTGTAAATGTAGCAAAGCTATTTATGGCAAATTCTAGATATCAACCTAGTCTAGATATGAACCTCGTTGTAGGCATCATATCAAGGAGATACAATTAGAAGACTCTAGATGTCGCCCCGCCAGAAGAAGTAAAATATTGCGCCTAAATATATGCACTATTTACATACGCTACAGCGGTAATGGACGACACGCCTTTTCTTTAAATGAAATTAACTGCTGCTATATGTATATATGTACATTATAGTGGTCCAAAAAATCCATATTTTTTTATTTTGAAATTAAAAAATATTTAGGGAGTGCTCAAAGTTGTCCATGTATTTTATATGGAGAAAATACAATTTTTCGTAGAAATGGTATAAAACTCTTGAAAATCAATATTTTTCGACCGGAAAACTGTGGTTCTCTTCAGGAGACTTCCAGTATCAATATCCAATTGTTTATTTAACCATTTTTATGTTTAAGGATATTTTATTGGTCCCCCTATTGGATTTTCTAAGGGCTTTGGAGGACCTATAAAATATAGTTACCATGAAAAAATTGTTAAAGAAACAATTGAGTATTATTACTGGACATCTCCTGAAGATAAGTAAAGTTTTCCGATCGAAAAATATTGATTTTCAAGAATTCTACACTATTTCTACGAAAACTTGTTTTTTCTCCATATAAAATACATGGAAACTTTGAGCGCTTTGAGCACTACCTAAGTTATTTTTTATTTCAAAATAAAAAAATATGGGTATTTTTTTTCGGTATATAACAATCCTAGGGGGTGGCGGCATTAAACATCCGACCTTATTTTTTTACATACATTTTTGGACCACTTTAATGTACATATGTATGTTTATACCAAACGTGAGCAAACAACATTTTGCTTGCATAGTATTTTGTTCTCTTTCACTGCAAGTTGAATTATTTTAATATTTATTGCAAAATTTTGTACCAACAAGACTAAAAAGTAGAAAATAAATAAAATAAAACTTTTTAATATACATATATACATAACATTATAAATGGACTAAAAATTTGAAAATAATATTTCTTAGTCCCATAGAATCTGTATAGATAACTTTCGATTTTGAAATTTTAGCAAAAGTCATTATAAACCAGCTATGAGATTGAAAATGAAAACCGTGGGGCGCATGTAATAGACCTGAATTGATATGAAGGATAATATATGTATGAATGTGGATATATGAATAACGACCGCTTAAAATCGATCTCAAATTTGTACTTTCTCTGTAGAAATTTTAGGTCTATGTTATGTAGTTTGACTATTTTCAATTAAATCTAATGCTTTGCATTACATGCACTCCACGTTTTTCGTTTTCAATCTCATAATTAGTTTATAATGACTTTTGCTGAAATTTCAAAATCAGCAACGGGCCCTTAAATGAAAATGCTTCAATTTAAAAGCATAGACAGACAGCAATGTTGATCCTGATTAACGCCGCAATTGATCTGATCAAAATTGAGCCTTGACAGATGGAAGTAATGCGGATTTACGAGCCGCGAGGTCGTAGGTTCGAATCCCACAGGCAGTAGGATATTCATTTTTTTTTGTTTATTCAGTTATAACTTCTAAATTTTTTTTATGTTGTTTTTGACTTTTTAGTAAAACTAAACTCTAAAAATTTAATTTAATTAATAAAAAAAAT